CTATGATTTGGTAAAACCCAATTTCTTCAAGGCAAGCAAAATATATATATATATATAAAGGTTGATTTCTTGAAACTAATGATTAGATGTTTTTTGTATATTTTTTTGGTACATTTTTTGTTTTTTTTTTTTTTTTGTTTAGTTTGGAGTTTTGTCCGTTATGATGGAGTTAAAAAAAAAAAGGGGGGGATTAGCACGTGATAAATGGTAGAGCATTAGAAGGGTAAAATTGTATTTTAAATGCATTTGTTCATAGAATTAAGAGTAATTAATTGATTTCCTTAATCCTCGTAAAATCAGCTAAAACGACTATTAATATGGAACAGAGGAAGTACAATTTATGTATAAATGTGACGGATAAAAAGGTAAAAAATAATTATTTTTTTATGAGAATGCAAAAAATTAATATGTCTAAATATTATAAATATTGGAATGTTTAATTAAATTAACATGATGTTTTTTTTGGAATATAGAAAATTGTTACAAGTCGTTGGTAAGAGTCAAGTTTCTTACCGACAAAATCAAACATTAAAGCTTCGAAGCAAATCATTGGACCAGCAGCCCAGTATAACATGATTGATGTTGTTTTTCTTGATCAAATTATAGTTATTTACATGTACTCCTTAAAAAATTAAAAAAAAAATTTATAAGATTTGAATACACGACTAGAAACAAGAGAACGATCCTAATTCAAAATCTATATAATTGAGTAAAAGCAAGCCGTTCAACATAATTGATGTTATTAATTAAAATAAAAAAAAAAGAATCGAACATTGTGATCCAATGATTCAATCTCAAGTCTTAAGTGATTGGGTAAGATGGTCAGAATTTCGAACTCCACTACTGTCGTGAATTCCACCAAAAAATGACATGATGGCCGCGTGCCTCATTTGAGAATTGAAATATTCACCCGATCTGAGGATCAATTGTTAACAATTAACTCATATTAATTTCTTAACCATTACTTTGTTAAAAAAATAAAATAAAATAAAATAAATCACAGGATTGATGGGACATAGACTTCTTATCAACATTACGTTATTATGTAGTTATTAGCCTTTTTTTCTTTTTTTTTTTATATCTTTTATTATCTAAAATATATATAAATATTACTTAAAATAAATAAATATATATATTAATTAAAGTTAATAAATTTATATTTTTAAATAAGATGTTAAGGTGTGTGTAAAACATTATAGAATAAAACTATAATATAAATCTCATTTAATTCACATTTATCATGTAGTTAGAATTAGGCACACTAAAATATTTAATATCAGAAATCTCCTTGAGAAACCCAATTTTTTTATTAAAAAAAAAAAGATAACATTATCTTGTTTTCCTTTATTCTTTGTTTTTTTGCTTTTTATTTTTCCTTTTTCTTTTAGGGGGTTAAAATGTCTAGCTCCATTTAAAGTGACTCTGAACAACTTTGAGATGTGTGGACTAACCACTGTGAGAGGGGACCCGTCAATTAATCACACCAAATCATTGAACAGGGAGCAACCCATGTATCTTCTTCCTCCATAAAATGTTATGCAAGTAACCTTTGTTGAAGTTAATGTGTTTCAGTAAGGAAAAATGAAACTCCTGCTCGGACTGCCACAAAATCTGGTCAGTCTGCATTAAAATCTGGGCTCTGCACCCTGTCTTGGCAAGGGAAAATCATGTTGTCGCCAATCACCTTATGGCCTGGTGGTAAGGTGGTGCAGGAAGTAGCAGCACCCGATCCTGAGTTCGAATCCAAGTACTGTACTGTCTTGATCTTCTCCCCTTCCCTCCCCGGTCCCCCTATGCAATTGTCCTTATAAAGAAAAAATGAAAAGAAAAGAGAAAAAGAAGAAAAGTTATGTTGGCAAAACAGTGTTTTCCTTTGTTGCCAATGGGATGTTACGGTGATTACGAATTGACTTGAGTTTTTATGTTGGAGTCTTAAATTTTGATATACAAGAAAATAAGAATTTAAGAAGAAAAAAAATATTTTTTTATTATATAATTCATCATCTTATGTGCAAAAATAAGTGTTTCCATTTTCTTTGCCAGAAAGCATTGTCTTCTTAAAAAAGAAATATCAGCCTTAGAAGTCCAATTTGACTAATTCTGATTTCCCACATGCTAAAGATTTGCAACATATAGAAGTCCCCATGGGAGCTTGGACTGCTTAAGTAATGAAAATTGTAATATCATAAAAGAATGATTCCATTTAAAGATTCCAGGTATCAGATAAACTCTAATAGCTATTATCAAATTACATAATAATTTAGAAATTTTCCTTTTTGCCTAAAATGCATGATCCATCACCTTAATTATGAAGTCCAACAAATTAATATGGTCAATGGCATTGCTGGAGAACAAACCAAAATACACATAATCAATGACAAAACAAGAAGAGAACAAGTAATAGATGGACGAACGATTCAGGGTAATTTTCTTCTTAAAAAAAGTAATAAATTCTTATGTTCGAGTCATACATACATGACCAGTGTTGGTAAAAGGGATTGGGAGATGATTTTCCTTCATTTTCAACCTAACAGAGGAATAACAGGGTATTGATCAAAACATATAAAAGAACAAACGGAAGGAAACCATTTTGACCAGATCCATGGTCAATTTTACCCTCAGCCACAGTAGCATCCAGGAAGCTTAAGACTAGACCCCCTGCTAAGGCCAATGGCAAAACACAGAGTCGAAGTCGGGGACCCAAAACCGGGGGCTTCTTCATCCTCTGATTTCGCGTTAAAGGACGATCCTGGCGTTGACGGCGGGCTTCTCTTTCCACGATGCCTTCTTGGAGTACTGGCTGCTGTGAATCCCAACGAAGACGACCATGATCTTGGAGAAATCAAAGATGATGGTGGTGATAAAGAAGATGAAGATCTCGAAGTCGAGATAATGTTTAAATTCTTCCTGAGACTGATCATTTTGGCGAGCAATGCATGGAGAAGAAGTAATCTTGAGTGTTTCAGCTTCGATTTTGCGGCAGAGGCGCTCGGTGACTTGAGGCTGGAAGAGGGAGGAGGAGTGAGAGGACGGCGGAGAGAAATATCAGGGAAAGTTGTGTTCTTTGGACAACAAGGCTGAGAAGGAGGAGGGGTGAGGGGGCGGCGGTGGGTGATATCGGAGGTTACTGTGTTCTTTGGGGTTCCGGGCTGAGACTCCCAAATGAAGGGAACGGCGCCGGGGAGTCCGCCATATTCGGTGAAAGAATGAGAACTGACTGAGGTTTCCCGGGACAAAATTCTGGTGAAGAACTTGTCATCTTGCTTAATTTGGAAGTTTTTTTGGGGAAGATCAGGATTGGTGCTAAACATGGTTTCTTCTGAGCAGGGAAGGGTGAAAACAGAGCATCCAAGGTTCATATTTATAGGACCCCTACTCAGGGAAAAAAATTTAGGGGATAAAATGAAATTTTGATCAAGAAATGTGTATTTTTGGTGTCTATTGAAAAGTTAATATGGTGATAATTTTTGGAAAAAAAAAAAGGAAAATTTTTTAAATAGCATTCATCAATATCACTCTTTAATGATAAACTAAAGTTTTGTTTAGTATTGTTTCTGTTCTGTGTTTTAAATTTTTTTTTTTTTATATGTTCAGCAACAATTGTTATATTTAAAATTTTAAATTTATTATAAAATTTAAATTTATTAAATTTAATTTAAATGTAGTACTAATTACCATATATATATGTAAACTCAAAACCCAAAACTAAAACTATACTAAATAGACCTTAAATTTTTAATATTTCATCTTAATTTTCATTGTCTTTCTAATTATCACGAACAATAACCTTTAATAACTAAAAAAAAAAAGAAAAGAAAAAGGGACTAAATAAATATAAAAAAAATAATGAAATCTAATTAACCATTTCTCAAAGTTTGGCCTGCAACTTTGCTCTCAAAGTTAAGGGAGGCACCTGAATTTTGTCGTTGCTTTCTTTACAGAAGAGTTGACTCCTACTTGTTGGAATTCACCAACTATATAGGACATGCTTCGTAAGCAAAACTGGGCCATTACGGGATAATGGAGTAGTCCCCTCTAAAGGTCTGGTTCCAACAGTCTACCATGGGCTATACATCATGAGGCAGGTGATATTGCCACTTGCTCCAACCCATATATTTTAAAAAATAGACACTTTGATACAATAAACTTTTTTTCAAACTTGGGTTCAATAAGACACTTTGATGTATTAATCACCTACTTTCTAGAAATAATCTACTTCCCTCAAAATTTTCAAGTCTTTAATGTCTTCAATGATGAACTTCTCTCCATACAACCATTTATGGTATAATTTCTAATAAGCATAATAGTTATGTTAGACAAATTCACCTTGTTAATAAAAGCAAGTGATCATCAATCTTTTTCATAAGAAAGTAAGAACCGAGAACATGCATATGAAGGGTTGCACAAGTGTATATTTGTGATTAAGTAGATATTGTGTTAGTTTGAAGTTTTACTATAGATTTTTTTGTTTTTCCTGATGAAGTTGCCGAGTGAAAGAATTCTTTACACTTGATTTTTTTTTCCTTAACTACAACTATGATTTGGGACGAGAGGCCTACCTCAATCCCATGTTTTTAATCCAAATATAGAAGAAGAAAGCTGTTCAATATATATATATAGAGAGAGAGAGAGAGAAGAAGAAAATTTAACTTCGGTTTTAACTCTATGGCAATCTACTTACCATTTAACATCCTTGGATTTGTTCTTACGCTTGTTATGCAAGGTTGTCTGCTATAAGTTTGTCAGAGCAATTAGAAGATGTGACATTAATGAGTGGATGCAATATTATCTAAGATTGTAAATTTATAATTATGATATGATATTAAATAAGTATGATATTATATGAATATATATATATACAATATTACATGTAAATCTTTAAATAAAAAAAACTAATTATATAATAACACATCATATTATAAATTTATAATATCATATAACATTATAATTATAGCAGTTTCAATTAACAAATGTCATGTGTTAGACCAAACATGTATTTAATAATTTTTTTTTCTAGTAACTTAGTAGGATGAAATAGGTTTTGTAAAAACAAATTTAAAACGTAAAGTTCATTCAGTTTGCAAGTACCAAGGGACTTCACATTTGTAATAACTTAGGCACTCTTGTACTGCTTCCATAATGTTAATTTGTTTATTGTTAAAAAAAGAGTACCTTGTTTTCAAGCTTATACTACAAAATAAGAATTATAAATAAAAAATCTCTCTTCAATATTAATGAGTTTACACTTATTTAATAATTTAAATTACACAATATTTAAAAAAGAAATTAAAAAAAATTGCAAGTAGCAGTACTTATTTAGAAAACAAATGCATTATGGTTTACTTAGAAATAATGTATATCTTAAAAGTGCAAAAACCCAAAAAAAAAAAACAACTTAGTGAGTTGATCCATAATGCCATCTGATTGCAAAACATACAACAAAGATCATATAATCCATTGAATTCAATCCATAGACATAGTTCAATCTTAAAATCCAAGTTGTCATGATCATGAGATCAGCCACTATATTTTTTTGGTATCAGCTACTATTTAAACATTATCATATCATATATTAATTGATATAGTGAATTTACAATTTGCAGCAATTACAGTCGGCTGCTGCATGATGCATGTCACATATGACTGCTTGAAGGCACTAATTAATCTCACTTACACACTCGTTTACTATGAAAATTTCATCATCTTGCTCCCCTTTAAATTAATATAATGTTTCCATCTGGAAAAAAATATACATAAGCATTTGACAATTTCACTAATTATTAATTTGTTTGACGTGTTCTTTTATACATTTTTTAGGATTTCTAACGTTTGATTATGTTGGGTGCACGCTGTACACTGCTTTGAAATTTTTTTGATAGAATACAACTTTCTCTAGACGGAATATGTATAAATTTTTTTATTAATTTTTTTCAATTTCGACCTTCAGTCCACAATTACAAATGACTAAAATATCTTTAATAAATCTAACGTGATTATTTTATTATGTGTATTTTAATATTTTTCAATGTAGACTAGCATTTGTTTAGCTAATTGAAATTAAAAAAGGTTTTATATAAAGAGATGAATGTTTATTAGTTGGACTTTAAAAATTAAAACTAGATGATAAAATACTTAAAATTATGTTGTTTTAATAAAATACCATAAGAATAAACTAAACCAATTCCATTCCTATTTTAAAAAATGTTTTAGACTTTTAGTTTTTTTTTTAATAAAAGTTCATTAAAATAATATAATTTTAAAGTATTTTTTCATCTACTTTTTACAAGTCTATTTGATAAACAATTTTTTTCGTATGCATATATGAAATATACTTATTAGTTTTACTTCTTAAAAATT